CTCACCGGTAGGCGGTAGGGTAAAGTGTCTTGCCCAAGGACAGAAAGAGCTGGGGGATCGAACCAGCGACCTTCTGGTTACAGATGAGCTCCTCAACCCCCTGAACCACGGTCGCCTTTGACAACGAATGGAGATCTAAAAGATGGATCAAATGCAGAAGGTATGGAGCTGCTGCTTATCCAGGTTGGGGAACCAGCATGGTCAGCAGAGAAGTCCAAACCTTCCCATCCTTGACCATCACCTCCAGCTCATCGGCTGAGATACTGAAGCGTTTCTAAGCCGGCGAAAATACTTCATTTCCAAAGAGAGACCTTAAAAAAAGTGCTACAATTTTCTTACAACTTTTAAGGAAAATCATAAATGATGCACGATATGTTTCAACACAGTTGCTGCAGAACTTAATCTACAGCTTTCACTAATCAGAGTGAAGACGTCTGATCGCTCTAAATGCACCAAACTTTCCCACATTTTAAAGCCTCTCCTGTCTTTTCTTGTCTGTCTGTTGTACTTTTGATCAAACTCATGATGAACTCCAGGCTGGATGGATACTGAGGTGATAACGTGAACCTTGACTTGTGTATTTTTCTGTTTCAGACGTATGCAGTACAGAGCCACTACGGCATTCCTCACTCAGAGGTAAACAGCTGCTTTATTCACTCTGCTCATCTTTGATATCATCGCTTGTTTCTGTCTGATTTCCATCTCTGTTCCTGTCAGTTAGCAAAGCTGCACCAGTTGTCGATGCAGCAGCAAGGCCTGGCCCCCATCAGCCAGTCAGCTACACAAGTACTGCCTGGTATGTGCACACACACACACACACACACACAAACTACAGTTTAAACTCTACTAAGAGTCCATGTTTCCTTCTCTGGCCAAACAAACGTCCTTAAAGCGCTTTGTTTTCATTCATCGCTGTCTGAGGGAAAAACTTTCGATTGAAGTCAGTGAGCGGCATCGAAGCCGAGTCGCTCTCACAGAGCTTTATAAGCCACTCGCACTCAAGACACTTCGAGTTGGGGAGGACGGTGTAGGAGGAGGAATGAAGCTGAGCCCCACTGACACGATGCGTTTCCTCCTCCTCATCCTGACCCAAACCTCATTTTAACCGTAACAAAGGGAGGATTTAAAAAGTTGCTTTATTCTGCATTTCAGTCTTTTATTGACAGCGAGAGATGCTAAGAATCTAAAATAAGGTGCCTCCATCTCTCAAAAAACTGCATTCCTAAACACACACACGTTGGTTATTCATATCTTGTGGGTAG